GAAGGAAGGAAGGAAGGAAGGAAGGAAGGAAGGAAGGAAGGCAGGCTCCACTCTGCGTAAATCCAAGCCTTATAAATTATAAATCAATCACTTACTCATTATCAATAAGCATGTATACTTAGTAAACTATCAGATTTAGCCTTTCATTTTCATGAATGATCATACCATTTAACACGACATCATCACACATTCTTTGTTCTGGCTTCTTCTCTGACAGAGGCGTAAGTCCCTCAACTAAACATCAAGGTAGCCCAGGAGTGACCCTGCAAATCGACAGGAACGTTTCTGAGGACTACCTGCATCTGAGCCACCTGGGGGCTGGTAAAAGATGCTGAGTCCTAACCCTCCACCCCAGAAATGCTAATCGAGTATGTAGGAGTAAAGCCCAGGCATCTGCATTCACATGCAGTGGAGAAAATTTTATCATCCAATTCGTAACACCTAGAAAAATGATTAGCCTAAATCAGAAGTTTTTAACTTTGGCAGGCATCTAATCACTTGAGACTTGTTAAAACACAGATTGCTGGGCTCTCAGGTTGCAGAGCTTCTAATTCAGTGCCTCTGAGATAAGACCCAAGAATTTGCTTTTCTTTCAAGTTCCCTGGTGATGCTGATGCTGATGCTGGTCCCAGATCTACACTACGAAAACCACTGATCTAGACGAATAGTCTTTCTTGTGCAAATGCAAAAACAAACATTTTTCAAAATGCATTAATAGGTGTCACATAGAAAGAGTTAAATTAAAGCTATTTCTTTATTGCCTGAGTTCTCACTTCATCATACCAGCGTGCATTATTAATTCCAAGTGGGGATATAGGATGCAGCATTTCCCAAACATATTTTACCATAAAACTCTCTTCTCAAGGATAATCCTGCGAAGCTATTTCAGAAAAGCCTAATAAAGCATTATGACAAGTTAATGCACCCAGGAAACTTGGGTGCTTTATCAGGCTTTTCTGTCCCCAACCAAATCTCATCCTTTGTCCTCACCCCCCAATGCCAATGCCAGGAAATCTAACAACATGGGGGAGAAAGATGCCTTCTGTAGAATTCAAATTGGTATGCCTAACTCACTTGCCAATAAAACTAAATTATAACTAATACTTGGTGTAAGTGAAATCATGTTTTTGCATTTTATGTATTTTAAACACTTTACGAGGGCTAGTAAGAACTGGATTTCAATGATATTAAAATGATAGATTTCATTGATATTGAAAGTACCTTATGGCATTTTGAACTGGATGATAAAAGAAAAAAAGGTAAAAGTACCTTAGTAGTCACTGAAGTATACAAAAATACATAGGTTAAAAAGATTATATCCTGGGCCGAGCACGCGGCCTGAAGACCGCGGGTGACTAGCATGCAGATACCCAGGCTCTTACTTTCTGTCCCTCCACTGACATGGCCCACTGGGTGGGGAGAGGGACTTCCAGACCAGCTCGATGCATGGGCACCTCGCTGCTCTTCCTGCTTTCAGTGCACAAACGGGAGCTGGACCTGGTTTTTCTGGATCATAACTATGCCAAGCCTTGGAGTGCCCACCCAGATGCCAGTAGCACCCATGTCACCCGCATGCTCTTGGTCACTCCCCGGCGGCAGCACGAAAGTACCATATGATTATTAAATACCTGTGAAGTATGTGTGGCCCGGTCCTATTTCCTCACCCGTTTACAGGGAATCAGACATCCCAATAGATGTGGAGACTGTCACGTCAACCCCTGTGCCGCTCTATGACAATCAAAAGGCACGCAGCGTGATGAATGAGTGTGAACGGCATGTCATCTTCGCCAGGACTGATGCAGATGCCCCTCCCCCACCAGAGACTGTGAGGAGCATGTCAACAGGACTGGCTGGACAATGGCCCAGAACAAGCTATTCAACAAGATCCTCAAAGCCCTGCAGTCTGACCGGCTTGCCCACTTGGCCAGTGAAGGGGCTTGTAATGAGCCAGTGCTGCGCCATGTTGCTGAGGACAAGTGTGTGAGGAGAGTGCAGCCGGGTCTGGCAAGTGGGAGCTGGGACACCAAGCTGATCCAATGGCTGCACACCACCCTTGTGGAGACCTTGAGTCTGCCCATGCTGCCAGCCTACGTGGATGCTTTGCAGATGCTGAAGGGGAAGATCCCAACTTTGACCAGATGCTCGTGTCATCCAACACGAAGACTGGGGCTGCAGGAGCTGAGGCCTTGCCTCTCCTACTGAAGAGGACCTGGGACCCTGCTGTGAGGGTGCATTCTCATAACAAACCAAGCAAACTCCCTGGCTCCCCACTGATTCTCATCGCTTTCTCTGGTCCCTCCAGCTCTGTTTTCCACTTCATGCCACCACTGATTCTGGCCATCTCAGCTCTCCTGCTTAAGCAAGGTCATCCCTGTAGCCACCCATCTGCTGAACAATGGCAGTGGGGTAGGAGTTCTACAGTGTCTCAAGCATATGACTGGGGCAGTGGGAAGCAAAGTGCTGGAGATTCACAGCCATTTCCCACACAAACCCATTATCTTGATTGGCTGGAATACAGGAGCTTTGGTGGCCTGTCATGTGTCAGTGATGGAGTACATCACTGCACTTGTCTGCCTTGGTTTTCCTCTATTTACCATGGATGGCCCCAGAGGGGAGGTAGATGATCCCCTCCTGGATATGAAGACTCCAGTTCTCTTTGTCATTGTTCAGAATTCCCTTCAGTGTCACCCTGAAGCCATGGAGGACTTTCAGGAGAGGGTTCGAGCTGAGAACAGCTTGGTGGTGGTTAGGGGAGCTGATGACAATCTCAGAATAAGCAAAGCAAAGAAGAAATCAGGATTGACTCAGAGCATGGTGGACAGATGTTTTCAGGATGAGATTGTGGACTTTCTGACTGGAGTGCTCACTCTTGCTGAGGGTCACTTGGGCTCTAAACCTCGGGGTCAGGATGCGGAAAATAAGAAGCCCCATGATGTGGCCTGCAGAGACTTGGCCTTTGAAGTCCCTGAGCAGGGCAGTCGACCTGCCTCCCCAGCTGCCAAGCTGCCCGCCTCACCCTCAGGCTCAGAGGATCTCTCCAGTGTGTCCAGCAGCCCCACGTCCAGTCCCAAGACCAAAGTGACCACAGTGACCTCTGCCCTGAAGTCCGGTCGGATTGAAGCTCTCAGCTGCTGAAGAGACATGTGCAGTGGACAGAAGCTGTGCTGATCCACAAACGAGCTCAAGTTCCTATTTCATCAGAACCAGTGGAGGAAGGAGATAAAGAGGATCTTAGGGTCCAACTGAAGCGACACCTTCCCTTGAGTCCTCTTCCTGGCAGTAAGACCTCCAAGCGACTGAAAATTAAGGTGCCCCTTATCTCCCAAGGGGAGCTGGAGGGCCTTGTGCTCCTTCCCAAGGAAGTGCTCCAGAAGGTGGGAAGCCCATCACCATGACACTGGGGCAGGCTTCAGCAGGGTCCAAGGAGCTCACAGGGCTTCTCACCACAACCAAGTCCAGTGCTTCTGAAGGTGGAGTCTCAGCCAGCCCAGCCCCTTCAGTGGTCTCCGGCAGCGCTGGACCCAGTGCCTTGCACACACTGCAGAGCCACTTAGCGGTCACCTCTCCTGGAAGCTGCCTCCCAGGTGCCACATCAGCCAGCAGCCTCCTCCAAGGCCTCAGCTTCAGCTTACAGGATATCAGCATCAAGACCTCTGGCCTTCCAGGAAATCCCTCCCCAGGACCAGCCCCACAGGCCACCAGTGTGAAGTTGCGTACCCCCATGCAGAGCCTGGGTGCCATCATCACAGGCACCAGCACCATTGTCCGTACCATTCCTGTGGCCACCACTCTCTCCTCCTTGGGTGCCACTCCTGGTGGGAAGCCCACAGCCATCCACCAGCTGCTGACCAATGGGAGCCTCGCTAAGTTGGCAGGCAGCCTCCCTGGCCTGGCTCAGATCTCTACCAAGCATCAGGCTTGAAGGTCCCCACCACCATTTCTCTGACACTTTGTGGCCAGCTGAGCAGGATCACCACGCTGAGCCCCATGGGCTCAGGAGTAGCTCCATCTGAGGAGCCCCTTTCCCAGGTGCTGCTCTCCAGCTCACAGTGCCTGCCTCCAGCACCCTGAAGATGCCATGTGATATGTCCTCCTTACCAAGTTGGTGATGGCTGTCTCGTGGTGTGCCCTGGGCACGTGTGTGGTCCTACTGCGTTGTCCACGTTTCTGGAGACCTCTTTAAGACCGTCATTTTTTCCCCTCTGCCAACTGTCTTCAGAGTTGGGCGGTTGAGTCTTCAGAGAAACCATTAGGTTAGGTGATATGGCACCAGCGAGGGAAACACCATCATCCAGGATCTGCGAATCTGGTTCCTGGGCTCCCCAGCCTCCTCAGCAGATCTGACTGTGCACGGATCAGAGGCACTTCTTCCCCTGCTTAAGCTGTGGTTTGACCCAAGCGTCAGTATTGGCCCGCCTGCTGCATAAGGAAGGTGTTTCCTTTTGGAGGTCTGTGCCACCCTCTGTGCCCAGTTAGGAGGAGACATCCATGTGGTATGGGACTTCTGGGCTTCGGGAGTTAGAATGGAAAGCCCTTTGCTAAAGACTGGAGTCACTGGACTGCCAACTGGTGGTTCAGAGCCAGAAGGGCTTGTTTTGGACATCACTGTTGCCTTCGCTGAGCAGCCATGGGAGAGTGCTCCCCATGCAACTCCACGTTAGAAACCATACCAGATACTGAGTAGCCTGCTGACACATGAAATCTTCCGGTTTTTGTTAGTATCATAATGAAGGCAAAGAGAACTAGGCTGTCATTTTCAGCCTCTTTGACTTACTCTAGATGTTAGGAGCAGTGGTTGCCAGGTGAAACCTGGCCCCTTTGTCTTTTTCACCATGCTTTGGGTAGTTTCTGTATCCAGAGAATCCGCAGATTCAGATAGGCTGAAGAAGAGGAATGGAACAGCAAAGGAAGTGGCTTGAAGGACATGCCAGTAAGCCCTGTGGTTTGGGCTTAGGTCTCTGCTCTGCCACCCAAGGAACTAGTGATTCAGCTGGAGATAAAGAGAAGAATTTGCAGAGTCAGAGAAGAAACCCCAACCCCTGAAAATCCTCTGTCTCCAGTCCCTGGAGGGGAATCAGGGACGACAAGCTAAGGTAGTATCTTGGCCATCCCAGGAAACTTGTGGCATCAGGACGATGAAGGCCATGCTTCAGTGTTTTCGTTTCTATTGCGTGAGACTTTTTGTCTTCCTGCTTAGAAGTGGGAAGATGATCGACAGTGACTCTACTATGCAGGGCTGTTGGTACCAGTGAGCCCCGTAGGGGGCAGTCCCTGGAGGAGTGGTCACAGAAGAGGGAGCTCTGAGCCCCTACTTATCTATTCATAACAACACCTGTGTGCAAAGATAGTTTTAGATTTGCTTTTGAAGCTATCCTCCAGAACAGGCTCCCACACTTAGAATGTTTCAAGTTACGGTAATAAATTAGGCAACCCAAGGGTAACTCTATTCAGTGTCCTTTTCTGTCACAGGAAGGGCTTAAATTAGAGACCGTGGTCCTGACCCACAATACAATATGTGTCTATACCAGGCCACCTGTATTCGATCTGGGAACCTTCCTGGCCAGTCTGAGTGGCAGCCAGAAGGCAGTGCATAGTGTCTAGGAGTCTCAGGCAAGGTAGGTCAGGGTACTGTGGGCAGGAGGGATGTGTGTGATAGGAGAGGGTACCCTAAACACCATACCTTCCCTCCCTGACCTGAAAAGCTGATCTCAACAGGGAGTCACAGAGAATTAGGCTGCGTTTTGCATTAGCTGGTGATTTTCTGAAATTTCTTAAATTCAGGAAGTTTTCAGTAAACTTGAGGAAGGTATGAAGTCTAAGGAGGCATCCAGGAACCAGGGGTTTGATAGCTTTACGGGTAGGATCGTATCACACCAAAAGAGCAGAGGGCAATAAGACTATATGAGCTATGTGAAGCTTTTAGGAATCATTTAAGCCAGACAGAGCCCCAAACAAGCCATTCATGACTTAAGAAAAGTTGTTGGCTCAGTGTATTCTGGGGACAAAGAAAAACTAACAAGCTGACCTGCCTTTATGGGAAATTCTAGTGTGCTTGTAATGGATGACTTCCTTAGGTATGGTCTGTCCACCTTGAAGAACTCCACGACTGAAGAAGGGGAGCTATGAGAACATGGGTTGTTTTACACCTTGGACAGGGCAACAGATGAAGTGGTTGAGGCCTAGAGTCATATTTTCCAGTTCCCTTCACAAACTATATTTTTTGAAATACAAAAGGAAGCTTTACCTATTTCATAGAAGACCTGGAATCCACAACCTCGGAAGGTGGTACTATTGGTAGAAAATGTGGAAGGATCAGGAAGGTCTTAAATTCTTGGATGACAGGCACATGTTGATGCCCTATGGAGATATCCTTGTGCTTTGAGGTCACTGAGGTAGGAAGACCTGCCTACTCTTGGCCCCAGCAGCACTACAGACTTGGGCTGGATGGGTTATAGAGCTGAGCAGCTGTGATGGTTCTGTTCTTACATTAGCAAAAACAATTTAAAACAACAATTAAAAAAGATTATTTCCTACTATACTCTCATAAGGAGATAAAATATATGCATCAATAAGCATGGCAGGAAGCAGATTACAATAAGTATAATAAGACAGTTATGAGCAAAATGTCCTTACATTGGGACCATCTGCATTAATCTTATTTGAGTGCCTTAAAATACTTGATGGTCAACATCCAGCAACTTTGCTTAAAAGAAATACACCGTCTCTGATTCACAAGATTTTTATGTGACTAAATTCTAACTGTCCTCTAATGCAGTGTGAGAAGGACCCTAGTTGACTATGGCAAATCCTATAATGCAGTTCTTCCAAAACTTGCTTTAGGACTCACCTAGGCCACTTACGAAAAATATAGGTTCCCCAGACTCCATGCCGATCAAATAAATGAGAGTCTCCAGTGGAGGAGACTGTAAATTTGTGTTTTTGATAAATGTCCAGCTCCCAGTTTTTATTTTAGCATAAGGGAGACTGAGCTTTCTCTGAAGTGTCTTTAAGGACAGAAATCCAGTCATTCATTCATTCAGTCAAATATTTAGTAACCTCATGCAGCATACAAGAGCAGATTTTTCTTAATCTATATTTTTTAATTTTATTTGCAGCATGACTATGTCATTTTTAGTTGAAAAACTCTTTTTGAGTAAAAATATTTGTTTTATTGGTGCTGTTTTTAGAACACTACCAATACATACCAGAAACCATATCCCCTAACACAATATTCCCTTCTGTGTGATGCTTCTTACGCTACCCTCGGCTGCCTCAAGATAAATCAGAGAATAAATTTCATCAGGATGATTACTAAAGTATATAAAACCATTCTGATCACTGTCTCATACATCCGTAAAATATGAAGCACACGGGATTTAAAATGTAGAAATACATAATACCAAAAGCTGTTTTCTTTAAATTGCTAACTTCCCAACTTTGCAATTTTGGCAACATTTCCCATGTTCTATATTTCTGCCTTCTGCTTTTTCGTGGAAGCAAGTAATGGGTAGAAAGAGAAAAATACTTTGGAAAGCCAGAAAGCAAGGTAAAAACTGATTACTAAAAGGCTTGTTTGATGGTGGTGCTATTTAAAAGGTACAAAATATTATGCTATGACTTGGGGAAGAATTAGAGGTTTGTACTGTTTCTTTCCACTAGTCTAAAATTTCCTACTTCCAACCTGACGTCATCTCTTTCTCCTCCTTACCACTTTTTCTTCCGTGTGTGTGTGTGTGTGTGTGTGTGTGTGTGTGTGCAGACAGAGAGTGAGAGAGAAAGATACAATGCAGTAGAAAATCAGAGAAAGAGAGCAGGATGAAGAAAGAGAAAAGAGGCCGGGCATGGTGGCTCACACCTGTGATTCCAGCTTTGGGAGGCCAAGGCAGCAGATCACAAGGTCAGGAGTTCGAGACCAGTCTAACCAACATAGTGAGACCCCATCTCTACTAAAAATACAAACAATTAGCCGGGTGTGGTGGTGTGTGCCTGTAATCTCAGCTACTCAGGAGACTGAGGCAGAAGAATCATGCGAACCTGGGAGGCAGAGGTTGCAGTGAGCCGGGATCACGCCATTGCACTTCATCCAGGCAACAGTGCAAGACTCTGTCTCAAAATAAAAAAAGAAAAGAGAGAGAAAAAAAGAAAGAGAGAAGAGAAGGTTAAACTGTATCACTTGGTTCTGCTGGACTGAAATGTAACCAAGGCCACATAGAGCATGCCCCTTGAAAGAAGAGGGCAAGAGAGCCATGGTGAGGACAAAGCATTAGGAAATGGCACACAGCCCTGGTTTTAAGCATGGCATTATCTATTAATCATAAAAATTCAGCAAATTTAAGTTTTCCATTTGTAAAAGTTTAGGATCTGCTAAAGAAGCAGAGTGAAAGAAAATCAGCATCTATGGCAGTCACTCAGCCACATCTCATGGATTTCATAGCAGCAGTGAAACACTACCCACACAACAGCCCTGTGTTCTGGGATGCTGTCACCTCACCTAATTTCCATCACTGATCCTGAGGTAGACAGATGTGGCAAGAACAGGAAGACGAACGTGGTACACAGTGAAGTGAGGCCCTGGTAGCCTGCAAGGTCGACTCCTTCAGACCTTCACAAGTCCACTTCTCACTCACTTTCTGCAGATATGCACGAAAACTGTTTATAAGAATACTCAATGCCTCAAAATACTTGGAGCCAAATAACCTACCTACTTACATGCTTTATTTGTAACATCTATAAACATACAATCACTCATAACACTACTGTGTTTTTGGTAAATTGCTTTCAGTAATACCTTAATGACTTGCAATAGTTTCATTGATTTCATAAATAAAAATAATGTGAATTGAAATTCTAGTTCATAACAACTCTGGTTATTTAAATAAACTTTTGTATAATTCACACAATTCTGATATAAGAGCCTCAACAGAAATGAAACAGACAACAGAATGATAAGCAGCAAATAGTAATAGCTAAATACCTAAAGCTGATGTCCCACAAAAGGTGAAGTTCTATAGATGGAATGTAAACTAATTAAGTAATGTCTTTGGCCTAGAAAAGAAATACAATAATAGTTTGTTATTTTTGTTATTTGGTTATTTTTAATAAATCTGTTTCTTAGTCAAGTCACCTAATCTTCTTTAGTATCAATTTTTCTATCTGCGTTTCTGCTTACATATATCTGTAAGTAGAGATGGTGATAATGACCAAATACAGTTATCATGAGGATAAAATAGAGTACCTTGCACAACATAATGGGTACTTGCTAAATATGACTTCTTTCAGCACTAAATGCTAATATTCAACTTATCTGTTAAAAGGGAGAAATGAAAATCTCAAAGAATTCTCCTTATATAAAGATATGAAAGGGCCGGGCGTGGTGGCTTACGCCTGTAATCCCAGCACTTTGGGAGGCCGAGGCGGGTGGATCACGAGGTCAAGAGATCGAGACCATCCTGGTCAACATGGTGAAACCCCGTCTCTACTAAAAATACAAAAAATCAGCTGGGCATGGTGGCGCGTGCCTGTAGTCCCAGCTACTCAGGAGGCTG